CACCCCGCCGCGCTCCCGCGGGCCGCACCTCTCCTTTGGGGGCCCGGCGCTGCGCACCCAGGGAAAGGGGAGGGAGTGGGGGCTGCCACGCTGGCAGAAGCCAAGTGGACTGGCCCGGGGGTGACGGCCGGGGCCGTCCCGGGTAGGGAGACTTAGCTTTGGTGAAGGAGAGGGTCTTGCGGGTGCGCCCCCGCAGCGCATGGTCCTCGAGGAGGTTCGAGAGTTGGGGCGCCCGGCTGAGAGCGGGGGCCGCGGGCAGGGGCCGCGCGCTTCGGGGCAGACCAGGAAGTGCAGCGCGCTGGCGCCCGCCGGCTGGGGAGCAATCCCCGGACCCCCGGCTCTGCTGTCGCCCGGGTCCTTCCTCTCGGGCCGAGACCAGCCCCACCACTCCTCCACTCCGACGCCAGCCCCCAGGACTCAGGAGCCGGGTGGATGGGAAAGGGAGCGGGCTATTATTCTGCGCCCAAGTGGTTCTGCGGCTGAGAGCACCCTGCGCGCAGGGCTAGGGGTACTCTGCGACTCCCCACTCTGCTTTGGAAGGAAGTTCTTCGGGGTCTACCCTTGGAAGGGCTGCGCCGAAGCCAGAACTCCCACAAAGGGCCGGAAGGAGGGGTGGGCACGGAAAGACCCTCCCTCTGAACCTGGAACGCTCAGTATTGCAGACTTTCAGACCCCGATAGGGCTAGTGGGTTTGGTCACCCCCCGAGCCACTTGGCCAGTCCAGTGCCGAGGGCAGAGCTGTAACCTTGGAGGAAGGGGAGCCGCAGCCATTTGATCAGGAGGAGTCTTTGTCTTAACCCCCAGTCCCCTTCCGCTAGTCCTCGCCGGGTCAGTAGCGCGTGGAGTAATTCATTTTTCGAACATTAGCCGTCCCTTCACCTCGGCACCGGCCAACACTGCCGTTCCTCCCTGCGGGTCTTTTCCATCACTTGCTCACGTCCTCCCCTTTTCCAAAATAAAATCAAAAAAGAAAGTGATCCGGACCCTCTAGGCACGTGGAAGTCACTGAAAGCACCATAGGGCAGTCAACGTAAAATCAAGGGTTAAGTGTTAAAACCCGCGCGCGAGAAGACGGAAGAACTTTCTTGATTAGCATAGTATCTGCCCCGGGGCCGCGCTGCCAGGCGGAGGTTCGGTCCCAGCCGAGGTGAAGCGTGCAGTCCCTGCTTGACTGAGGTCAGACGCAGCACCTGCTTCTCATCTGACAGGACCCGCAGTTTACGACTTTACGGAACAGGACACTGTGGCATGAAACAGAACAGAGATCAAAAGGTAACCGGCAGAATAGCATCATTTGAGATGCTTCTCTTGGACTCTAAATTTGGACAAGTTTTTAGTAAGCAAAGGGGAAACGGTCCTTGTTTAGCCAGAGGCTCTTCTGGAAATGCTCCCTTGATTCGCTGTCATTCTTTTCTGCCAAACTAATTAGTAAGACGCTATCTCTAAGACAGAAGGTTTGGGAGCTCACCGAATGGCCCTTACAAAAGCTTAACTGGTAGTTTTCTCTTGCATGGGAAGAGCGATGCCTCTCCAAAGCAATGGTTCCTAAACTTTGCTGCATGTTGGAATCACCTGAGAAGCTCTGAAAAATCCTGATGTCCAGATCGCATCCCAAACCATTTGAATAAAACTGGGGATGAGAGCCAGACATCGGTTGTTTTTGTTTGGTTTGGTTTGGGTTTTTTTTATCTCTAGGTGATTCCATCGTGCAGCACAGTTTGAGAACCCCTATTGCAAACCTATTGCAAAGAAACAGTTCAATGGCCAACGGCAGCGGGCGTCTTGCAAGACAAGATGCCAGTTTAACTACTTGGGTGGGTGAGAAAAGACGCTGAAACTGGGGTGCCAATGACTAACGCCCAGGGGCGGGGACTGTCATCTGGCAGTCTGTCTGGCGACACCTACTACATCGTTTTTCCCTTCCCTGCCTAGGGTCTGGCTCTTGTTGGGAAGATCGAAGTTCACTGTCAATGCCTAGTTTCTGCACTGTTGTTAAAGGAGAGGGATAGAAACGTTCATTCCTGTGATGACTCATGCGTAGCAGGCGGTAGGGAAACCCAGCAGAAATAAACTCAGAGCAGCCTGGTGAGTCAGCAGGCTGCTCTGCAAAGGGAGCCTAGTGAATAGGAAGTAATTACAGCAACTAGCTTATTGACATGCACATGCTCCACTCCTTTGAAAGCACATTTTCATATCTAATTGGGATGTTTGCTTGCAGAAGCTGCTCTCTTTTCCAACACTCCATTCTACCTGCTTCATATAATGCTCTCTCGTCAGTAGGTGAAACAAAGCCAACTAAACATCATATAGTTTCCTTGGAGGGAAACATAAACTGTTGGAAAGATGTAAACTGGTTTGGGTTATTACACTTATGTGAAGTGGAGAGAATGAATTTGCAATACATAAATTTTGAATACAAATGTCAAATATTGTTTGATTACACATTAGGGAGTGGATTAAAGGATCTATTTAAATAGAAATGGTTACATCTACCATTTTACATGAAATTTTGTTTGCTATTGACCAGTGATTTCTCTTTTTTTTTTTTTTTGGGGGGGGGGGGGAATCTTAACCCTTGACTTGGTGTTGTCAGCACGACTCTCACCCAGTGAGCCAACCAGCCATCCCTGTGTAGGGATCCGAACCTGCGGCCTTGGTGTTATAAGCACTACACTCTCCCGAGTGAGCCATGGGCCGGCCCTAAGATTTCTCATTTTTAAAAAGAAAAAAAAAAGCCCTCCCCAAAGGATGAGTCTAAGATAAGCTGTTTAAAGATGCACACAAAGCTTATGAATTTTTTTTTCTTTTTGTTACTATTTCAGTTTTTATACTTCTCCTTTTTTCATTATTCTTTATGTCACCATTGCTCTCTTTACCATTGCCTAAATGCTTTCTTCCCCATCAATTTCTTTAAGGGAGAACAGTGCCTGGCACATAGCAAGCACTCAATCTTATGAGCTATTGAACCTCATCTGGACCTCTTATAACACCTATTTGTAGTCTGCTTGGTATTCGATCTTAGGGGCCTATATATCTGCAGCCCCCATAGCATGAAACATGAGACCTTGCATGTTGTAGATGTTGCTGGTTTGTACTGAAGATTATCAGAAGGTGAGGAGAACACTGGAAAACAAAGCATTCTAAGTATGTTAAATTGTATTTTCCGGGCCGGCCTGTGGCTCACTCGGGAGAGTGCGGTGCTGATAACACCAAGGCCCCGGGTTCGGATCCCATATAGGGATGGCCGGTTCGCTCACTGGCTGAGCGTGGTGCTGACAACACCAAGTCGAGGGTTAAGATCCCCTTACCGGTCATCTTTTAAAAAAAAAAAAAAAAAAATTGTATTTTCCATGACAGACACTCTGGATATGTAGGAGCCAATGTTCCGTCACAGTTCTTCAGTGCTATAAAATGGTAGTTCATTTGTTCACTTACATTTGTACACAAAACAATTTCTTATTTTGAGTATAGTTTATAATCGTTAACATTTAACTACACTCTCCTGGGTCAAAGATTCACTTCACAAAAGTTTACCCTCTACCCATTATTACAAAAAAAAATAAAATCAAACTATATGGATGCTTAAAGGATTTATTACACTAGAAGAGTTACTTCAAAATAGGTTAATAGCTAAACTGCTTTTATTGTCATCTGCCTACTACTCTCATTAAAATAGCCCAAGTACATTTAAATAGCCAGCATATTTAAAAATGGGAAGTTGGATGTATTCTTTCACAGATAACACCAAAAATGTTTATAAGATTTTCAAAGGCTAGAATGATGTGAATGCATACATTCTCAGTTTCTGTGTAGCTCAGAAAGGGACTGGAGATGTATTTCTGAAATTTCAACCCCCCCCCCCTTTTTTTTTTTGAGAGGCATAAGATGTTGAAATGTTCAAATATAGTCTAAAAAAATAAGACTAATAGAATTAATCCATATTAGTCAAACTACTTTAAAGAAGATGATATAAACCTAGCTCTGTAATATTTACAAGCAGGCCAGGAGGGATGAGGTAGAAAGAAAGGGTGTCATCTCAATTTTAAAAGTTCTAAAGTTTGGGGGAACAGATGAGAACCACCCAGTCTTATTACCTTAAACTTATATAGCCCATTGGTCTTATTTATATATCAGAGCCTAAATATAATTGGGTAGATGGTATTCCCAGATGTCAAATAGCACAAGTGACTCCAAAAAGTTAAATGATTTCCAAAGTGGCAATGCCAAGGCCAGAAAGGTTATCGACTGACTCCTTTTCCAGTGTCGATTGCATCATATAAGTTTTGATGTAGTCTTGCCTGGAGGCTTTGGCTAGACAAGATTAGTTCTAATTATCTCCTCCCTTTTTAAAACAGGAGAAACTATTCACATACATTTTGTTCTTGCTGACTTTACACTTAAATAATTAACCTTTGGACTAGGACAACCCCAAACAATCTAAGTCATCTTTAGCTTCTTACCGAGGTAACAAAAGTAAAAAGTTCTTTAAAATTTTCTCTACATCATAGAAGTGTGTTAATAAGACCATCTCTTCTTCTAGAGGCCCTTAAAGGCTAGTCCCACCACCCAAAGGAGCTTAAATGTCCTGTACAATATCTTTACTAAGGAGTCTTCCAACTTCAAAGACTTAGGAGTCTTCAAAGCTCTTTTTGCAGCATTCACCTATTGGAGACCACAAAGAGTAAATCCAACTCTTACATAATTCACCTACAACCATCCTAAACATTCAAAGGAAATTTATTCTCCTTAATCTGGATAAGGAAAAATCTGGCTATAGTATTTCAAATCTGTTAATTTCACAAAATTTTTGATCCAAATTTGCAACATTTGAGAAGCATTCAAAATTATGGCTATACCAGAGCTTTATAGAATGGAATTGGTGAACTTGCTTCCAGCTAAACCTGGTCTAGTAATCTACACAATTCAAAAATGACTACTGACAAGCTTTACACAATGACATTAATCTTGAGTTGAAACCCATGGCTCCATCTGTTTCAGGGACCAGCAAACTATGGCCCACTGTTTTTGTATTTTTTTAATTATTAAAAAAATCCAAAGAAGAAAAAGATTTGGAGACACTTATATGAAATTCAAATTTCTGCATCCAAAATAAAGTTTCTGTTGGACTACAGCCATTCTTATTTGTTTACATCTTGTCTATGGCTGCTTTTGTGTAACTGGCAGAGTGGAATAGTTGCACCAAAGACTGTATGGTCCACAAAGCCTAAATTATCTTTGCTGAATATTTGCAGAAAGGCTTTGAAAACCTCTGAATTTATTCCAATTCAACAAACTTCAGCTTTAAATGAGAATTTGCTCACTTAAAGTCTTAGTCTTTTTTCATTTTTTTCCCTTTAGAGAAGGTAAAATAAATTTGTTACCAAATATAGGTCAACTAATCACTAAAGATAGAAGATAGTTTGTTTTCATATTCTTCTTGTGCGTGTATTTACTTGCAAAAACAGTACATTTCTTAATAATATATGAATTTTACTGATATGGTCAACTGTAAAACTTCTAAACCTAAACAAGCCCAAGCAGTGCAATACTAACTAGTCATTGTTTCCAAAGCTCTAGAAAATGTGAAAACACATTCTTAATAGCAATCCCAGGGTGATCATTTGTCTTAACTCTTTAGCAATATCCTTTTACTCCAACCCATGAGAGTATTTGTATGCTTGTTTTAGTATATAAAGGCATAACTTGGAGATTTATTCAGATTTAGAAATTTTTCATTGAGTATCACTTCCTACACTTAAAACATGATGTGGAAACTTGCTGCTTTTGGAAATACCACTACTTTTCTAAAGTATACATTTGACATAAATTGTTTGCTCCTCATAATGGCAAAGATCACTACATAACATACATGCAGATAGTCACTAACACTGCTAAAGGCTGACAGTATGCAATGGACAATTTGATTTAAAATTTTCAAACTTAAAAGACCAGATTATGATCCAGAAATTCAAATTATTTGCCTCCTGCTTAAGGCAAGACAGATTACTATTGATTAAGATTCTAGAAAAAAATATTTGAAAGAATAACTACATTGATAGAAACGTGTCTCAATTTTTCATTGTACTTGTTGCTTGCCATAAAACTTCTTTTAGTTAAGAGAACTTCCTCCTTTTGATAACTTGTTAATGCCATAGACTGGGAGTTTGCAAATGAGTTTCACTTAGGCTAATAGAGCACCTTTAAGGGTTATCTGGTGTCCTCTTCATCACTTCCAGAATCAGTCCAACTGCAATATAGAGACTGAAAAAAAG